AAAAAAAAAAAAAAAAAAAGAACATCAAAACTGCTACCTATATAGTGTTCTATAACTTCCTCTAACTTGTAAAGATGCCAGTGTCCTATCGATAGGTCATACAAGAAAAAAAATTAACAAAGAAACTTCATCTGGCAGCTGCATGAAATATTCTATAGATGTCTATCAGGACTATTTATTCTATGGATACAAAATAGATTATATTCTGATGTCTCAGTACATATAAAAAAATTGAAATAGTCTCTTGTATCCTGTTAAACCATAATGGAATGAAAATTTAGCAGCAAATGAAACCACAGAAAATATTCAAACTTGTGGAGACTGAACAAGTTGTTAAATGATGAGTGGATCATCAAACTGATACAAGAGGAAATCCAAAGTTTCTAAAATCTCATGAGAATTTAAATAAAACCTACCAAGAATCTTTGTGACACAGCAAAGGCAGTGATAAAAATTTATAGCTATGAGCACCTACATTAATACCCTAATGATGTACCTCTAGCTCTTAGAAAAACAAGAACAAGTCAGGCACTGGTGGCTCATACTGTATTTCTAGCAATTCAGGAGGCTGAGCTCTAAGGATTGAGGTTCGAGGCCAGCCCAGGCAAGAAAATCCATGAGACTCTTATCTCCAAATAACCACCAGAAAACCTAAAGTCAAGCTGTGGCTCAAAGGTAGAGCACTAGCCTTGAACAAAGAAACACAGTGCCCAGACCCTGAGTTTGAGCCCCATGATTGACAAAAACAAAACAAAAACAAGCCAAACCTAAAACCATGAGACAGAAAGAAATTCTATTATTGTGTATCAGTGAGTTCTAAGACAATTTCAGGTAGCCTAATGTATGTTTAATTGGAGTCTTCAGTAAAGAAAAAGACAAAGGGAAAACTACTAGGAAAAAAAACCAGAAGTAACAATTTTCCAAATTTCATTTTTTGTCAGTTTGGGGGCTTGAACTCAGGGCCTGAGTGCTGTCCCTCAGCAATTCAGCTCAAGATTAGTGCTCTAACACTTAAGCCACAGTGCCACTTCTGGTTTTCTGGTGGTTAACTGGACATAAGAGTCTCATGGACTTTCCTGCATGGACTGGCTTTGAACCTCGATCATCAGATCTCAGCCTCCTAAGTAGTTAGGATTACCGGTGCCTGACCCAAATTTGATTTTTTTAAAGCTATAAATCCAAGGATCTAAGACGTTCATTAAGTCTCAAGTAAAATAAATATAAAGAAAACTACACCAAGATCTCATAACCAGATGCTTAAAAAGCAACTGAAACCAACAAATAGGAATTATAGAGCAGCTGAGAGCAAAATAGGAAGTAGTAAAAGCACTGATGAGGGAAGATCACTTATCAGAAACAATGAGTATAAGAAGACAATGGAGAAGTATCTTTCATGTGCCCCAACTTGTTAATTAATAAATAAATGTCAACCTAGAGTTATTCCTATGGACAGTATCTTTCAAATATGCGTGTTAAATTAAACTCATTCCCAATTGCAAAGGTTGAAACCTTCCCACCAGCAGACCTCACAAAGTAAATATCAAATGAAGACCTCTAAAGAACAACCATTTACTCAAGGTTCAGGAGAACTACATATGTCAGTATCATTTCGTTAATTCGTGTTTGTTCCAATGCACTGAAGAAAAAAGAAATATGTGTGATACAGAATAGTGTGATCAACTATTGAAGAATACATTTTTTTTGACAAAGATAGTTTCTCTGTTCCTTTTATTTCCTTTCTAGCATTAACAGACACGTCTATTGATGATACACAAATTACATCACTGCAAAGGACAGAAAAAAGCTTATGATGAGTTGGGTCACTGTCACTTATGCAGATAGTAACGAGATCAAAAGCAACAAACATGTTTTCAGAACAAGTAGTGATACTCATTCACCCAGCTTAAACCTGAAGACCAACTTGGTTAAATATCAGCAATGATGATACAATATGGTATTCACTAGTCAAAATTGGCAGCTGAAAGAATTCCTTTTCCATATAAACAAGGTAGAGAAAAGGAATAGTTTACACTGTGTGTTACTTCTCAACAACAAAGTCAACAAATTATTCCTGATTCTTTGGGAACATGTGCTCGGCCAGTTTGGCCATGAATTTTTCAACTTCTGCTTTCACCAAAAAATCATGGTGACTTTCAATTCCCAGAACTTTATCTGCACACACTTGAAATTCTTTCAAAAAGAAAAAGAGTGAACCTTCACCAAACTGGTTCTGAGTAGGTTCATTTTCTTCCCATTTAAAGTTGTTATTTATGTGCTCAAAAATGATCAGAAGTTTAAGAATAACCTCTTGGTTCTCTTTCTTATCAAAAAGGGAACCCAGTGAAGCTGGTACTTGGGCCCTAAGCAGTTCTCTAGGCATGGCTGGATTTTCAGCCAAATTCAGAAGAAGTTTCAAAACCTGAAGTTTAGTTTCTTCATTTCCTGCTGAAAATAAGCGAAAAAAGTCTGAAATGGAATTAGCAAGTATGTGCTGATACTCATTAGTCACAGTCATATTTGTGAGCAATCTGAGTCCAGCCAACTGCACAGAGGAGTTCAAGCGAGACGTGACTGTATCATCACACACCTGACTCATATATATCTGAAGCCTGCGCTGATTTTCGGTATTCACACTCAAGTTATTTAGGACGATTAAAGCCTTTTCCTTAACAATGGGATCCCGGGTGTTGAGAATCTTTGCAACAACTGGGAGACCACCCAGATCACGAATAATATCTCTGTTAAATGCATAAGCAGCATTGTTACCCAGAGCAATGAGAGCTGCTTCAAGAATGTAAGGCTTTTCAGACATCTCAACCAAACAAAGTACTTTCTGTAGCTCTTGAGGGGACAGAACAGTATCATTAGAATTAGGGGAAGCCCGTTTCTGGACAGCTTGACGAGCCCTGTTAGCCCTCGCCCTTGCTCTGGCTCTAGCTCTGGTCCCAGCCTCAGTCCCAATCCGGGCCCAAGGAGGGTACCACACTATGGTCCTGCTCTCATTGCTGTCATCATCATCATTATCATCATCTGACCAGTCATTATACCTGGCCCCAGAACAGTCCCCAGCATCGTCCATATCCCCAGAGCCACCCTCCGCCATTTTCTCCTTTGTTTTCTTCCCCGAGTCAGTCTATAGGTCCAACAGCAGGCTCCAGCTCCAAGCAGTAGGCCTGCAGTCACCCGGCCTACTTTCCTGGCTTAGTCCATGTAATCGTTCCTGGCAACAGCAGGGACTAAGAAACGGAGTAGTCACTCTGAGTGAGGGAAGGGGGTTGTGGGCCTGAGTGCGGCCTGGAGAAGAGTGATGTTCTACAGCCCTTCAAGGCCACAGTACTGATTCTAGAGATGGACTTGGTGGAGACAGGCAGTGTGCCCCCAGCCCCTTCCCAGGAGGTGTGCCACGCCCAACAATCTTTCTAATCTCTACTGATCCAGGGAAACTTCCTCCCTCTCTGCAAGGGGAGACAATCTTCTCTTGCTGGGAAAAACTGCAGGGATCAAACCACTTCTTTTTCCTGCTCCTTCCCTTTGCTGTCCTTAGGGCAAGAGGACCCTGGTGAAGAATAGATTTTTCCGTGGCACGTGGGTGAGAGGTTTCACGAACTTTATCATCCTTATTCTTGCTTACCAGATTTTTTTTTAAAGACTCAGAATGAAAGGGTTTTTATCATCTTGAAGCTATAATAAGTCATATATTTCATGACACTTCTGTGGACAGCCAGTCAAAATGCTCAGTTCCGCAGAATTAATTTCATGTAAATCCACAGGAAGAGTCTTCATTGATTCAACCAGGAAGTAGTTCGCTCACAGTGCCAGTTCATTCACAGCTGAGTACCAGCTACGCATTAGGTGTTGGGTAGTCATATTGATACATCTGTGAACAAGAAACACATAGTCCTTGACCTGCTGGAGCTGATTCACTTACGATTCTATTGATTTCAGAACCATCGGACATTTACTACATTTTTAAATAGTTCCAATACACCTTCCCTCTCCTAAAATTCTTCACTACTCCAAAGTATTCATGTGTACATGGCTACCACCTTTGTTCCTCAAAGATGCACCTATCAGACATAGAATTAGGGTAAGGGAAACTGGGAAGAAAATGGAGCGGTGAAACTCAGTCACACTCAACATCATCTATTGGGCTTTAATGGACCCTTCATGCTGTGATCGAACACAACAGGGACGAGAGATCTGCAAGACACCGGGATGCTAGAGGTCAGTGGACAAAGGGAAGCAACTAGAGAAGGGAAAGTCTAGGACTACAGGCAGCACAACACCTCTGTTCCATGGTTGGATGTGTCCTACATGAAGAACAGTAATGTGTCAGGTACCCAAGAAGCAGCCCAGCTCCACCCCTACACAGCTACTCCTATACTTCCATAGCAGTGACTGGGTCACCGGCATCCTGACTAAAATTAGTCACTTACTTAGTACGAGTCATTTCCATTTGTCTGACTGTTGGTTCTTCCAGATACCATAGCCCTTAAGAACATGAGCTCCATTTTCCTTTGTCTTTATGAAATGTACCTGAAAAAAGTGAAAAGAAAAATGAATTCAGTTAAAAGTCAACCATGCTACCATTTAAATAATTAACTGTAAAAGTCTTGTTGAAATGTGATTCCCACTGTAGCAATGTGAGAGGTAGTGGTTGGATCAGGAGGTCTCAGCCATTGTGAAGGGGTTACAGCCACCCTTGGGAAATTGGGTTAATTCTCCCAGGAGAGAAAGAGTTCTCATTCTCATAGGAGTGGATTCTTTTTTTCTTTTTTTTTTGGGGGGGAGGCTGGAGGGGGTAGCACCTGAACTCTGGGACTGGGCACTGTCCCTCAGCTCTTCAGCTCAAGGCTAGTGCTCTACCACTTGAGCCACAGCGCCACTCCTGGCTTTTTCTGCTTATGTGGTGCTGAGGAATCGAACCCAGGGCCTCATGCATGCAAGGCAAGCACTCTACTACTGAGCCACCTTCCCAGACCAGGAGTGGATTCTTTACCACAGAGAGATGGCTGTGAAACAAGACTACTCATTATTCATTTCTTACACACACACACACACACACACACACACACACACACACACACACACACACACGCCCTTCTGATTTTCTGTCAAGTTACAAAACAGCATGAGGTCCTAACAGAGGAACTAGATATTCCTTCTCCAACTTTGACCTTGGATTCCCTTCTCCAGAGCTGTGAATTAAGTACATCTCTATTTTTCATAAATCACTGTCTCGTGTATTTTTGCTATATCATAAAATTAGACAATCTGAAGTCCTTCTTTTAGGTGTGTAACATCAAGGAAGTCTCCGTTCCTGCACGCAAAATGAAATTAATGATTGCTTCTTTGCAGAGTTGTTGTGAGAATCCAATAACATCTGAGTCATTATGTCTAAGTGTTTTATAAATCATAAAATTTCATACACATCCCAAGAAGCTTAACACCACTTTGTATATATAATCAGAATAATAATAATGAATACTTCTGGTACAGTGCCAAGTTTTCCGTTAAATCCTTTATGTAACAACCCTGTAAGGTCAGTAGAATTAATATCCTCATTTTCAGATGAAAAAACTGAGAGACTGAGAATGTGAATAACTTGCTAAGGAAAGTCATTCAGTAGGGAAATTATTCTGCAATTTCTTTTCTTTTTCTGTTTTTCATAATGCCTAGCAGGGTTTATCACACATAATGCCAGTTGTAAATACAGATTATGTAGTTTATCTTATTTGTGGGGAAACAGGACTGTTTTTCTCTGATGGGCTCTCTGTGGGTATATGCTTCTACTATTTGCTCAAGTCTAAATGACGGGATGTACCAAGGCTTATTAGAAATCCTGTCTGTTCTGACCATACCTGAAGCCCAACAGCATTATCTTTCTCACTCAAGCTTTTCACTCTCTTTGTCAGTAACTGCAAATAAGTCTCCATTCTGGTGAGTAGTATTTAAAACTGTCCATCTGGTTTGTGCATTGTGCTCAAATTCTTCCCCTGGAAATCCTTAGGGCTAAGCAGGCTCTGTTTAGATTGGCGCGGTAGTGTCAGCATCACCCCCTGTACCCCACAGTGGATGCTAGCTCCTGAAGAATACACAGAGAGAGCCAGCATTCATCACGAGGATAGCTCCTTACTGGCTTTATCTGCCCTTCACCCTGGAATGCAGGTTTGTCCTTGCCAAGTTTCCCAATTTACCATAATGCAAAAAGGTCACTTTGCTTGTGTAGCGGCAGGTGAACTCCCTGGTTCAACGTTGTCAAATATAAAATGTTCTTTCCAGGCTTGAGCCAAGTGAGCACAACCCAGCTCGTGTTTCTCTCTGTCTCCTCACACAGGTGGAACTCAATCTCAGCAGACAGCCTAAAGTAACCACCCCCACCTCCAAATCAGAATCTCACCGGCGACATTTTATGAGTGAAGATCAGAGGTCCTGTGAACAGGGGGAAGGGGATGAGAGATGTGGTGTCCTAGTGACAGAGGCTGGTGAGGCTTCTGGTCTCTTGAGCTCTTGTCACAGCATGCTTTGTCACCTTAAGCATTTCATGTTGTTCTAACTCAGTCTTCAACGTCCCCAAATGTCTGGGAGAAGTCTATCCCAAAAGGCTGAGAGAGGGGCTGGGAAGGTGGCTCAGTGGTAGAGGGCTTGCCTTGCATGCATCAGGTCCTGGGTTCAATTCCTCAGCACCATATATACAAAAAGAAAAAAAGCCGGAAGTGGCGCTGTGGCTCCAATGGTAGAGCGCTAGCCTTGAGCTGAAGAGCTGAGGGACAGCGCCCAGGCCCAGAGTACAGGCCCCACGACTGGACCCAAAAAAACAAAAAAGAATTACCAAAAGGCTCAGGGACAGTCACTCCCGCCACCCAACTTAACGCCTTCCAGAAATGCAGTTTCCTGCTCCCGACTTCTCAACCGTCTTGCCCTAATGAAACGGTGACCGTTACACCAAGCTCAAGAGCGTGGCATTGCTGGTGGCTCCTCCCACCATTCGGGCTGGAAGGGTGTCACTTCTGTTGAGCCAGCCATGCCTTCATCTCAGGGTCTCCTCCCACCATTCTGGGAGATGAAATGAAAGGCCTGGCTGGTCTCATGCGCCACTTGCTATGATGTTGCCCCGAAGGACCTCTGAGCGTCCTGTGGTGAGCTGAACCATAACCCCTGGCTGATACACAACCTTTGCTCTGGATTCTTAAGAGAAAGCATTTGTCTGCATCAAGTCTTCTCCATCCCTCCTCTAAGGTGCAGCAGGGAGCACTGTTAAGACTCAGCCACACAACCAAACCTGTGTCTCACAGGTTCTCATGTGCATGTCAGAAACTTCTCAGTTGTGCCTGAGAAGTACTAGAAGCCCCAGTGTTCTTGGAGCCTCTGTAGGACTGGAAGCAAAAGCAAGTAACAAACAGCCACCTCCAGGGAGCCACGTGAAGAGTGTGTGGCTGAGTGTGTGGTCGGATGTGGCTGGTTATCACTTAATCTCCTCCTGCATCCTCAACCCAGGGTGCACTGACTGACTCTGCAGAGCAGACAGACAGTACCAAGTCCATTGTAAAGGAGCTAGTAGACCAGGTGCCAGTGGCTCACGCCTGTAATCCTAGCTAGTCAGGAGGCTGAGATCTGAGGATCGCAGTTCAAAGCCAGCTTGGGCAGGAAAGTCCATGAGACTCTTATCTCCAAATAACACCAGCAAACCAGAAGTGGCGCTGTGGCTCAAGTGTTAGAGCTGTCCCTAAAGAGCTCAGGGACAGTGCCCAGGCCCAGAGTTCAAGCTCCAAAAACAACAACAACAACAACAAAGCTGGTAATATCATGAGAGCTGCCATGGGAAAAGACAATAAATGAAGCCTGGAGAATCCCCTACAGTTATTAAATCAAGTGCTAGGAAAGCTGGGCCATGGACAGGAGGAAGGTGTGTTGGTTATCGAGGGACAAGGCCAAGACACGTTATCTGTCTTCCCAAGCCTGTACCTTCTGGCTTCACTGTCTTGTCCTCTGCTGTGCTCCACGGGTCGTGGTTTTAAATTAACACTACATGAAATAGAATTAAAATGCGATGAAGGAGCTGTGGGGTGACTCTGCTTTGCATTTAAATCCTTGAAAAAAACACTGCATTTCCACGTTCTGAACACTTTCTGATCCGAAGCATAATTTGGGTCTGAGGATAAGAGTGGTTTTTATAGCTCCTTTTCAGGAAAGAAGAAAGGATTACTAAATTTAGCAGGAAGGACCGTGAGGGGTGAGGAGAGAAGCAGACTGCTCCGGGCTCTGACTCCATATACGGGAACAGGGAGCGGGAAGCATGGAGATGACCTCTTCCAGGGGATGAAGAAGTCTGGAAGCAAACTACAGACTTCAAACCACGTCTTTCTAGTGTCTTCCACATCGGTGATATAAAACAAGACCGATTTGAAGTGAGATGTGGAGTAGAGTCATCTGAAAAGAAGATCCACCAAATCCTTTCTCTGCTCCCCTACCCAGCTTTAATGAAGCTCAAAAATACAAAGAGACTTGTCCAAGTTGTACTGTTGGACACTGGCTGGCTGACAATCCACAGCCAGCCCACCAGTCTCTCCATGGCCTCAGACTGACCAGGAGAATGGTCCAAGGCTCCATGTTGAAAACAGGAAGCCCCTAGGACAAAATACTGAGATTCTCCAAGCTACATGACATACTCAGGATGCAATCTGAGATTGACATTGATTACAGGTTCATCTTATAATCAGGGTGATCGCCTTGCTAAGGATACAAACTTCTTTGTTCAGGTTAACAAATACATCTTGTTGTTCATGTACAGATAGAGTACAGGCTATAGATACAAAATCCCCACTCCATCTAAAGAGTCCTCAGACTGTCTTCCAGAAGAAGGTTCATATCTTCCAATATTAACAGCACTTAGAGGAGAGACATAAAGACCACTGCCGGCATTTCTTCATCTTCAAGGCTATGGAGGGAGTCAGTTCTGCTTGTGAGCAGATAAAGAAGAGTGAGTCATGGGCTGGAGTCTCGGATAGTGGTCCCTTGGGAAATTCCATAAGGCAGGAATGTCTGCAATTACTAATGACAAGAGGGGACTCACGACAAACAAAGCATCAGATTCCAAGCGGAGCTAGTACTGTGCTTATATGAAACACAAAGCTTGCACTGAAGAAAGATAGGTAAAGGGCATGAGAGATGAACCAGAATGAGAATTTATGAATAATGAAAACAATCACACCCTCACATGATATAGTAATGTTTAGCATATCATAGGGTAAACACTTTTTTTGGGGGGGGGTCGGTCACATGGCTTAAACTCAGGGCCTGGGCACTGTTCCTGAGCCTTTTCACTCAAGGCTAGTGTTCTACCACTTTAAGGCACAGCACCCCTTTCAGTTTTTTGGTGGTTAATTGGAGATAAGAGTCTCATGGACTTGTCTGCCTGGGCTGGCTTCAAACTATGATCCTCTGATCTCAGCCTTCTGAGTATCTAGGACTATAGGTGTGAGCCACTGGGGCCCAGCTCATCGCCTCACTTCTAAACCATAACATGTCCTTTGTATGGACATTGCAACTATCTCATGAAGCTTCAAAATGGAGCATCCTATTCTGTGGGCCCTGCCTCTGCTCCCTTCCCCCACAATTCTAACGTTTGATTTAGTAATAGACCTGAACTTCCTCATTTTCCCTCATCCTTTCAGCTTAGCCAAGAGGAAATTAGTACTAAAAGCACATTACATCTTAATTGCGTATCTTTTATGAAACAGAAAATAGGACTTCCCAGGTGCTTACCTGCCACTACTAAAGGAATTCTATCAGCCATGCATATACAACCTCTGTGAGCCTCTCGTCCTGTGTGTCACTTACCACAGGGTCTGAACATAGAAGAATTTGATGTGGTTGTTATAATATGGAAGATAACCGTATTTCCACATCATATTTATTGAGCACTTACGAGGGGTCAGAAGCTAAGTGTTTGTATATAAAGCAAAAGCTAGACTCAGAAGAAAGCAGCAATCACCCCAGAATAACTTTATTTTCCTCCTTCCCCTGACTTTCAGGTATTATCTTCTCTTATGCCAGCTAAAAATAAAACAGATATTTTGCAAATCACTGCCAGGTATTAATAAACATCCTCACTACTGACTTCAGAGTCCAATCTATTCTTACCTAAATCTTCACTCTTGCTTGGTGTAAAGGAGACTGGCACACGGTTCAGGCAGAAAAAGAGTTTATTGGGGGGAGAGCATATTGCTGACCTGAATAAGATGGAGGTGTGCTGGGGGTGCAAGCAATGCAGGGGAAGGGAAATGGGGAGGGCAAGGAGGCCAGGGGCAAAACAAAGGGCGGAACTAATGATGAAGACTGATAGATAGGGAGAGGGCAGGGAGGAGGTGTGGTCGCAGCAAAGACCTCAGAGTCTGGGGGACTGCCCATTGCCATCAGGTACACCAGTTACCTGGGTTACCAATGTTGGACAGGGGCCTCTAGTGAGGGGGCCATGTGTGCACCCAGCAAGAACAATGGGGAAAGGAGCCATTTTTCCCTGGGGGATCTAACACTTGGCACGTCCCCTCCCATCAAGCCTTCTTGTGTATGTAACACATTCTGAAGAACCCTGTGAAGGGCAAGAGGTGAAAGTCTCTATGTAGTGTTTATCTGCCTTTGACTCCTCCCACTTACTGCCTGCCTCAAAATGTGGTAAAAAGAGAGGACAGAGCAGGAGCAGACATGACCTCATCTGATTCATGCCAATATCATGTGTCGGTGACTGGGGTACCAGTTGCCCAGATGTTGGCTCTTGTGCTTACAGACTGAGTTTGGCTGGGTGTACATACTGGGAACTTCCTGTTGACCTGGTACTATTTCCATAAGATTCTCCCTCCTTGGGATTACCTGACCCATTAGGATATTATATTAATATTATATTATTATATTATCCATTAGGTGACAGATCTCTTGAGTCAAGTCTCTTCAAAATGACTTAAAGCCACCTGCCTTCCATGAGGTCCACTCTACAGAAACTCTCTGTAAATGTCCTCGTTCTCCACCCATGAGGGATATGTGACATGTTCCTCTGTGGTGCCCAGGCCCAACTCAGCTCTCAGGAAAATTCTGCTCTTCCCACCATCCCTGTCCCTTCTGTAATTAATCCTAGAGGTGCCAGAAAGGCCAGCAAGAGAGTGAAGAGAAAGGACAGAAGAGAGAAGGGAGTAGTCCTTTGGACTGACGTACACTGGGAGGTTCTTACAAAACTGAACACTTTCTCCCAGTGCTACAGGCTAAAGAATCCAAAGGCAAAGGCACTGGCAGATGTGGTGACTGGGTAGGGCTCACATTCTGTTACATAGATGGCAAATTCTTCCAGTACCTTAGGTGATAGAAAAGATGGTGTCTCTCTCCCGACTCTTTTTTAAGACCTCATCTCTGAATCAGATTAGGGGTTAGGAGTTCAGCACATGAATGCGGAGAGCAGGGAAACATAACCACTCAGACCACAGCCAAGAACCAAGGAGCCTAATATGCCTTCCCTTCCTTGACTCCATCCCAGGCTTTCAGGTGTTTGTCCAAACTGAACTTAGGTGTTAGATTAATGAAAGGACAGTATGAGCATTTTAAATAGGTAAAACTAAAACTTCCAAAACAGTGGGATCCACTCAAACTGCGGCTAAAAGAAAGGAGAGAGACATTGAACAGCTCACCACTGAAGACAGTAGAATGAGAGAAAAATAAAGCTCTGTCATGATCTGCCTCCCGTAAGGACAGAGTGTTCCATAAACTAACTTCATACACAAAGTTCAACCCTGTAACAAACAGCTTGATGAAGTGAGCCAGAAAGAAATAAACTTCTTAAAAGAAACATTTTGATCTTCTATCAAAACAAACCAGTTTTCCTTTACCCTCTTCTGTGTAGATCTTTTGGGAACACATCTCTCTTCTCATGACTGTTGAGGTCACACCCACAATGGCAGAGTTCCAAGAGGAGAGAGGTTTGGAGGAAGAGGAACTTTTCTTACCTCTAATAAGTTAATTCAAAAGTAATCAGTTGGTCTTGAGATGGGGATGAAGAGGAAGGACTTGTTTGGTGACTCCAACATTTGTCATCCTATGACCCATGTCCTCCTGGAAGCAAATAGGTTTGAGTTTCAGATGGCACAGACACCAGGTATACTTACCAGCTTTTTCCTCTAGCGCCCTGGAAAGCAATTACTAATCAACTCTGCCCAGACATTTCCATTTATTTCTCATCTGCCCGCTCCATTGTCTCAGCCCTAGGACTGCCCTTGTCTATCAAGTTACAGCAGGTTTCTGATCATTAGCTTCCTTTTATGGACAATGTAGAGTAGAACATGAGATGTTAGCAGGACTCATTGCTAGTGTTGTTTTCTATTTATTAGTATTTAAAATTAAAAAAAAAAACAAGGAACACAGAAGTTTCCATTTCAGTCACTCCTTTTCTGGTCAACAAATATGTCAGGAGTTCACATTCTTTAAATGGTCATGGGACCCATTTCATTGTCAAAAATATTTAGTCTTTTTCTTCCCTTGAGTCCAGAACATTCTGAAACTTTCAGAATTTTCCTTAATATTGATTGTTATTATTGATCCAACTGTTAAAGAATTGTAGGCATATCAAGATGTGGGGGTAAGGGGATTGATAATTAAGATGTAAGCAGGCAATAATGAGTGTTAAGCTGGTTGCTTTACAATAGATGAACTATCAGTGCACAGTCTGTGTTAGTGCATCCTTATAGAGAAAATAAAATCAATCACATTGTTTTAGCTGTCTACTGCTATATAACAAATGATCCCCAAACCTACCCATTTAAAACAAACATTAATTATAGTTTCTGTGGGCCAGGAATTCAGAGTTGACTTGCCTGGATGGTTTTGGCTGAAGACTGTTCTTGGGGCTGCAGACAAGACAGCGGCTGGGCTGTTGTCCTCCACAGACTCTACAGGCCTGAAGCAGCTGTGTCCAAGATGGTTCACTCCCACTGCTGTTGGAAGAGGCCTTGGTTATTTGCTAGTATCAGGAGATCTCACTATCTTACCAAACAAGCACTTCACAGAATCAGTTGGGATTGTTCACAGCATGAAGTTAGCCTCCCATCAGAGCAAACTACCCAAAAATCAGACCAAGGAAAAAGCCACGATGACTTCTAACCTGCTCTTGAAATCTCCACCATCACATCACCCATTATCCATTCATTAAGAGCAAGCTGTTAAGTCCAGTTGGCATCAAGAAGAGAGGGGTTAGGCTCTACCCCTCAAATAAGAGTAGACCCAAGTAATTTTTTGGACCTGTTTTAAAACCACCACACTTAAAACATGGAGATGATAGCTGTTGCTTGTTTGGGGTTGGTTGTTTTACATTTATGCTCACAAAAGCACATCAAGTGAAATGAACATGGGTGTGAACTGCAGAGAAATATTTTGATAAAATTAAATGTGATACCCTTTATTTGAAGTAAAAGGACTTTCCTCATTTGAAGGTTGAAAAATGGAGAAAATGAAAAAAATGCAACTCTTAATTCTATGTAAAAATCTGGAAATTTTAAAATAAAAATTCTGAGCCAAGTGCCAGTGCCTCACGCCTATAATCCTAGCTACTCAGGAAGCTGAGATCGTGGTTCAAAGCCACCCCAGGCAGGAAAGTCTGTGAGACTCTTATCTTCCAGAAGCTGGAAGTGGAGCTGAGGCAAAAAAATCTCAGGGAAAGCACCTCAGCCCTCAGTTCAACCCCACAACCAACAAAAAAATAATAAAATAAAAATTCCTTTATTATTTTTCTCATTTTTCAGGATGGAAAAATTAATAAAACAGCATTAGGGCTGGGAAGGTGGCTCAGTGGTAGAGGGCTTGCCTAGTACGCATGAGGCCCTGGGTTCGATTCCTCAGTACCACATAAGCAGAAAAGGCTGGAAGTGGCGCTGTGGCTCCAGTGGTAAAGTGCTAGCCTTGAGCTGAAGAGCTGAGGGACAGCGCCCAGGCCCAGAGTTCAAGCCCCATGACTGGCAAAAAAAAAAAAAAAGCATTAATATGCACCTCACAATTCTATGTTAAAAAAAATCAAGAAAATTTAAAATAAAAATTTCTCAATTTTTTTCCAATTTTCAGGACAAAAAGTGATACTTTAATAAGAGAGCTTTAATTAAAGAAACTGCTAATGTTTGCACAGAGTTACATTTCAACATTCAAAATTACTCAAGCCCAATCTTATTTTCTCTATAATAGTAGTAGTTTAATCAAAGGGGTAATTTTTTATGAATATCTAATGCCTTATCTTTTATAAAAGTTACCACAAAATTCTCACTTAATCAGCTAGCATTCATGATACAAATTAATATTCATGGTCCAAGACTTTAATGGTCTATAGAGGCTGATTAAAGGAGACAACCCAGGACCCATTCACATTTACTGGACTGCAATTTGCTTCAGCATCATGAAGGGTTTCTCACACGTATTATCTTCCTTTCATATAATACATTTTTAAAGTCACAAGGTTTGCATCAGAAAACCTTCCCAAGGTATATATGTACCTAAAGCATCAACCTTACCTGGAAGGTTTTTTTATCTTTGAATAACTTATTTTGATATCTTCTCTTTGCTAAGATTATACTCTATTGTCCATTATGCAGCTTAAACCTGTTTGTCATCAAAACTACTGTGAATACACTGCAATACCTGTCTTTCCAGTTCAAGATGATAGTTTAGACTTAGAATACCTTCCTTACTTCCTTAGGAATCATCTGAAAGCCAGAAAGAGGCTAAGAATTTTTTTAATGCAAGCTCCATATTTAACGAAGGCAGGCAAGAAAAAACCCCGCACCACGTGGATGAAAAGTCTGCCAAAGGTAGAAAACCAATAGGAACATGTGTGGTAGAAAGTGCAGACATGTTATGGCTTTGGGTCTTGAGAGAAGCAGCAAAGCATATTTCTTGGTGAGAAATACCCTGGTGAGCAAAACAGACATTGTTTATTTGCAGCAGTCGGGGCAGAGTGCACACGCTGGCAGCAAGAGCTTCCTTGAATTCAGAATGTTGGTCCATGAGAAATCACTTCAAGAAGCATATTTGCAACTTATCACTATAGCAACAGGGGAACAACAGAAATTGGACTGTGTGAAAACTCCGCAAGGGTTATCTCACATGAGCTGGGAAGAAGTGTGGGCTGAAGAGACTGACACTGAGACCCGCAGGTCACTGGGAAGATTCCAGCAACCCTGGACCAGAGCCCTAGCTCCTCCCTAACACAGGCCTTCTGAAGACTACTGAGCCAAGAAAAATTCACCTCCACCAAATATCTACAACCAAAAGCAACCATCCAGAGACCTGTTCAAAATTGACAACACAGGAAGACTGGGAAGAGAGTCAAAGGTAGATGAATGGCCAACAGCGAGCACTTTACCATCAAGTAGCAGAAGGAAGCAAACGCTTGTAGTCCATTTGACCTTTTTAATGGCACAACTGCTCCTCCAACCAACTACGTTGTGCAATAGAAGACAGATTGTGAGGGAGAGTGGAAAAATGAAGAGATGGGGGAAGGGAGGAGAATGCAGCCAAGAATTCAGTATATATCCTACAAAACTAGGAAAAGTGAGGGAAGGGGTAAGAATGTTGAAAGGGGTGACACTGATCAAGATGCACTGTGTTCATAAACTGCTTTGTTGAATGGCAAGTCCTTTGTACAATTACTTAAAGGCAATAAAAATATGTTTTAAAAGAGATGGTGGATGGGGCTGGGAAGGTGGCTCAGTGGTAGAGCACTTGCCTTGCATGCTCGAGGCCCTCGGTTCAATTCCTCAGCACCACATAAGAAAAAAGCCAGAAGTGGCACTGTGGCTCAAGTGGTAGAGCGCTAGCCTTGAGCTGAAGAGCTGAGGTACAGTGCCCAGGCCCAGAGTTCAGCCCCCACAACCAGACCCAAAAAATAAATTAATTAATTAATTAATTTAAAAAAAAAGAGATGGTAGAAAGCCGGGTGTTGGTGATTAATGCTTATAATCTTAGCTACTCAGGAGGCTGAGATCTGAGGATCGTGGTTCAAAGCCAGCTCAGGTAGGAAAGTCCGTTAGGGGGCTGGGAAGGTGGCTCAGTGGTAGAGCGCTTGCCTTGCATGCATGAGGCCCTGGATTTGATTCCTCAGCACCACATAAGCAAAAAGAAAAAAGCCGGAAGTGGCGCTGTGGCTCAAGTGGTAGAGCGCTAGCCTTGACCTGAAGAGCTGAGGGACAGCACCCAGGCCTAGAGTTCAGGACCCACGACTGGACCCAAAAAAAATATATATTTAACAGGGCTGGGAAGGGGGCTTAGTGGTAGAGTGATTGCCTAGTATGCATGAAGCCCTGGGTTCAATTCCTCAGCACCACATACACAGAAAAAGATGGAAATGGTGCTGTGGCTCAAGTGGTAGAATGTTAGCCTTGAGCAAAAGGAGCTCAGGGACAGTACCCAGGTCCTGAGTTTAAGCCCCAGGACTGTCAAAAAAAAAAAAAAAGTACTTAACATAGTAAGAAGAAAATATACTTGTTGCAAAACCCAGACGATCACAATGGGATGACAACCTATGCTTAAATAAACTGGAAAATCTAGAAGAAATGGATACATACTTTTTCCTAGGCCAACTTCAGGTTATATGCCTCCTACCTCTACTTCCTGAGTTGCTGGGATTATATACATATACTACCATGCCTAGCCCTTGATTTGAATGGATGCGTACATATGCTAAAAACATTAAAATTTGCACTTTATAAAGAGCTACTTGACACCAATTCTATAAAACTTCTAAAATAGAAAAGTATTTTCAAATGTACTTCACATTTCAGAACTTCCAGAGAGTTCTCTGTCTCTCTGACCACCCCAGGCAACATTTTTCCCATCTCCTGAGATCCATGGGTACTTAATGTGGACACAGTTTTGATTCGCAGTGCTCACTACCTTGTGTTACTGATTGCTTATGATCATTTATGAGCATGTTTCTCAGCTAGGGCTTCATGAAGAAAACCTGTTCCTCCCTTGGCCCCTGGAACAATTTGTTTCATAAGTAGACTCTCAACGAATAGTCTGTTGAAAGATTCTTATTACACTTCTAGGAAAAAAATGTTTCATGTTATTTTT